CACACACACACACACACACACACACACACACACACACACACACACACACACACACACACACACACACACACACACGGTAAAGCAGTAAATAAACAACGTTAGACTGCACTACTGGTCAATGTAGACGGAGTCCGTTGGGCTAAGCTAGAGTAGCGCTCTTGCTAGTCCCACTTCATTACAGAAAACCTGTAAAGACTGAGTGAAAACGGAAAACAGGAAGTAAGAACTGACTGGAAAGGGTACTTACAGAAAATATGTCTACATCCGTGGCCGCCATAATGAGGAATGTATGTGTTTAGATAAGGCGAAAGGGAGCTAGCTGCCTGCCTTCGTCTCTCTCACCGTCTGCTGACACACACACACACACTCTGTGGTCGGGATGGACCATTTCCGAACCTTACTATAGTGAAGGCAGTGCTTATGAATTTAAATGACGCAATGTGACGGTGTGCGCTGATTGGCTGAAAGGCAGAACCAAGGAATCTGACCACGCCCAGAGCCGTTTGTTTTCCAACGGCTCTTGAATATTAATTAGGTGACGTGCCTGGACCGTTCAGGATGATTATGTAGCAGGTTGAGATGACTAATTAATATTCATGAGACAACATTTCGCCATACTACGATTCATAATTTCACAAAAAGCATTAACTCAATATGGCTTCTTCCTGGAATCCCACTTCATTACAGAAAACCTGTAAAGACTGAGTGAAAACGGAAAACAGGAAGTAAGAACTGACTGGAAAGGGTACTTACAGAAAATATGTCTACATCCGTGGCCTCCATAATGAGGAATGTATGTGTTTAGATAAGGCGAAAGGGAGCTAGCTGCCTGCCTTCGTCTCTCTCACCGTCTGCTGACACACACACACACACTCTGTGGTCGGGATGGACCATTTCCGAACCTTACTATAGTGAAGGCAGTGCTTATGAATTTAAATGACGCAATGTGACGTTGTGTGCTGATTGGCTGAAAGGCAGAACCAAGGAATCTGACCACGCCCAGAGCCGTTTGTTTTCCAACGGCTCTTGAATATTAATTAGGTGACGTGCCTGGACCGTTCAGGATGATTATGTAGCAGGTTGAGACGACTAATTAATATTCATGAGACAACATTTCGCCATACTACGATTCATAATTTCACAAAAAGCATTAACTCAATATGGCTTCTTCCTGGAAACTCCTACTGACTTCAGGAATGTCTTTTCTTAAGTCATGGCAAGGTAGAGCTTCTAGCTAAATAAAGAGATATGCAAGTAATTATCATTCATAATGACTTCAAACCGTTTAATGACATGCATAATACTCGTTCATGATCACAGGAATAAATTACTTTTTAAAATATATTCATATTTCACAGTATTACTGTTTTTACTGTATTTTTTGGTGTGAGCAGAAAAGCCTTCAAAAACATGAAAAATCTTATAAACCCCAAGCTTTTGAATGGTCATGTACTGTATGTGTATTATATTGCATTGTATTTTAGCATAATGTAATGTTTTCTTTTTCCCCCAGATTGAAATGTAGCAATTATAGCCGATTGTAAATCATGAGGTAAATGTTGAAATACGAGTGCTACTTGTCTTAACTCATTGGGAGCGGCCAAAACCTCTCTAATTGTTCCTTTCTGGCTGTTTATGCATCGCATGTTTGCACACGTTCACTTAGGTGTTGTGACAAGCTGGGCAAAATTAAAAGTATTTTTGTAATTAGTGTAGATGTAAAAATGAATATCTGAACACATTCAGGTCATGCATTATACTGATTAATATTTACTTTTTGTCCAGCATAATCCTGTATTCTGATGGTCATGGAAAACCTGTAACTGTGGGATCTTATATTCTAATGCCATAATCATACCACCCCAAAAAACAATAAATACATTTTATTCAAAAATGTCAAACAAAGATAATTGAACTGTACTTTTATTTTTATTGTGTATATATGTGATATTGTTTCTTGAGCCAGTGATGAATAAGAACAGATTCAGACTCTAGATGTGGTTAGTCTTGCTGACAGTGTTTTAAAAAAAAAAAAAAGCCACAATTAAGATTGAGTAAAGGAAACCAGTGCTGGGAATTTAAGCCAACATGGGCCCTCATGGAAAGTGAACAGTTTTGCCTACAGCTGCATCTCTTGTTGTTCCCACGATGCAGTGGATGAAAAAATTCGGGAGTCAGAGACCTTCTGCCCTTGTGATGGGTCACGTGTTCCTCCCGCTGCGTTCATTAGAAGAGAAACAAAATGCCTTGAGTGTGTGTTATTTGACATGCATGACAGGCCTTTACTCTCCTTTAGCAGAACATTACTGTATTACTGCATTGCATCAGTTGAGAGCTAACGTCATGTAGTAGAAAAGATGGATGCGTTTGACCTTTGAGAAGTTACATCATTTAACCCACCTTCCCGAAAGTTCTTATTACAATGTGACATTAAGTACATGACATTTCCCCCTAAATTTTCATATGCATCACAAAAATATGAAAATGTCTGTGGTCCTAAATGGTCTTTAAATGGGCTAATTTAGACATATCTATATAAATATTATTATAATATGACCCAGAGACCCACCTATTTGAATTAGGCTAAACATCAAACAAATCAATTTATTTTTTATTCATGTAGCACTTTTCACAATCTGTTATTTCAGAGCATTTTTCCAGAAGAGTTTGCCTTAACGCACACCACAACTAATCCCATCTGTCTTGTTCTTATGAAACACTTAAGATGCACGGCAAGGGAATGTCATTTACATATTTTATTCACAATAAAACAAAGGTCATGGAATTTATGCATTCCACACATAACAATAAGCTGGAAACTGCCAAGATTTAAAAAAAACTAAAACAAACAAACACAATATTCAGAAAACCACAAGATGGCAGCAAGACAAAACAGCACTCACGGATGAACTAGGTCTTTCACATGATTTAGGATTTTTTTTTTCAGGCCATATGAGCATGAACTCGACAGAAAATGACTTATCGGAGACCAAAAGCCAAAACAAACTTTGTTCAGCCAACTACAAAGGCATACGTTCATGTATTCCACAAGAAATGCTAATAAAAATGTGGAGCGAGAGCTAAGAAATGCATTTCTGAAAATTCAATTTCCTAGACATACTGTAAACCCAAAATGTACCCAGACAGCACACGTACTTCTGCAAGATGTCTGTTAAAGATCTGGAAAGCATCTGCTGCGTACAAACATCTGATAGATGTCTCTAAGATGTCAGTTTTACATACATTCTAAATCATAAGCATCTTAAAGACATCTTCTAAACGTCTCTTTGACATCTGATAGGAAACGTCATATAGACGTATTGCAGATGAGCAAACACTCTAAAAAATACGTCTTGCAGATGTAATGCAGACATCAAATAGACGTCTCTGTGATGTACGTGTGCTGTCAGGGCAATTTAAAGCTGGTTTGGGTGGTCTAATGATATTTTAAGACACTGAATGAGCGTAAAGTACACAACACATACACTGACGTGCATTTGCAATGTGAACGTGTCAACAAGTAGACAGAAATAATGATGTTTCCAAACCAAGTACAAAATAAATACAGCATAACCCTGATCAGTTCGAAAACATTTGGGTGATTTTACCACGGTTTGTGTGTTCAGGCTCTCACTACATGTGCAATGATCAATCAGTGTTGGGAGAAACGCATTACAAGCAACACCAGTTACGTAATCGGATTACTTTTTTCCAAGTGACTAGTAAAGTAACGGATTACTTTTAACTTAAACAAGATGCCAATTACTTTTGTTTTCTCATTTACTGACTGACAGTGTCTTTGCTGTTGACTTGATGATCCAAGTCAACCATACTAATGAGCAAAATTTACTTTAGATAAACATAACATTTATGTTTAATTTAACGAACTTCTCCTGCGCCCCATTCTTCATGCAATCCTGAATGGCAGCACAGTTGAAAGGTTTGTTTGAGCTGCGTCCTCTACTGTACAGACGTGCATTTACATTTCCTTCAGACTGAAGCTTACTAATTTCACTTTTGGTGTGAAAGGGCTTTTACATTTGCCAAAAATAGAACTTTTTAATACTAAAACAAACAAGCAAGCCCAGCCCAGACGAGAAAAAGGAACGCAAAAATAACAAAACGCATTACTTTCCATAAAAAGACACAATTAGTTACTTTTTTAGGGAGTAACGCAATATTGTAATGCATTACTTTTAATAGTAACTTTCCTCAACACTGGCAGTGATGGCAGTTAAATAATACAGACTTCAATCGTTTCACCAAATACATCTTTAAAGAGAATCATCAAAACTGAATAAAAGTGAACATTAAATATACATACAACATGATAGTGGCAAATGAAATAACAGGACAAAAGGGCATGAATGAAAAGTTACACTATGAAGCCCTGAAATCAACACGAATGAACACTTGGGATCGATTAGAATATCCAGGTTCATCATGTGCAGTTTATTATCAAAAGTGCTTCTTTCATCCATTTTTTTGGTCTTGATTTGAGAGTGCTCTGTGATGCATATCTGAAAGAGTGCATTTCTCATTCATCTACTTGAAGCTCTCAGTAAACCATTCCTGGGCTCTTAAATAAAGCTTTCCATGGTTTCCAAAGTCAGCTTAAGAGTAGCTCAACTACAGCACAAACGTCAAATGAAACACAGCATCTCAGAGTAATTACAGTCTCTGCAAAACAGCCGCAAAAGGCACCTTCAGGCATTAGAGAGCCGTGTGCGGTAGCTTCATGGAGGTAAACTGCTGAGTAAGGCCTCGAGCTGCTCCTCTCCTAAACGCTGTTTCTCATCGAGGTCTTTCTGACGGATGAGTAAAGAGGCCTTGGTCTGAATGAAGCGCCGGTACTCCTGCAGCTGTGTGTCCGTCAGCTGTTTGGAGAGGAATGTGGAGACCATGCGCTCCCGTCGGTCCAGGTTGTCCTTTAAGTCTTTGGCGTCCTCCCTCTGCTTGCACAGGAGACGGTAGCGGATGTCCAGCGATTGCTGTGGATCGAGAAAAGTCGTAAGGATGTTATTGATGCGTCACAATTCTGGTCATTCATCATTAACGTTAGCAGTCACACACACACAGGAAACTACAGGAACTTGTTTAATAAATATAAGAAATCTGTCCCATTTTCCCATCATCCACAACTGTCTGTGAAACAAATGAGAGATGAACTACACAAAGTAATACTTGATCTTCAAAACATCCATTTCTGGGTCAAAATGAAAACGGCACTTTTTTTTTTTTTGGGGTCCAGAAATCTTATATCATTTTATTCTAATAAAAAATATTTTTTTTAATCTAAATGACTAGTTTTTACCAATAAAAACATACAATCTTCACATTCGTTTACTCAAAAAAAAAAAAAAAAAAAAATTCAGTGCATGA